CCCACAATCAATCTGGACTGTAAATCTGTGGAGCCTTAGTGGCAGGCCAGGCTTGCAGCAGAATAAGTGATTTAGTGGGTACCTGGGGCAGGGCTAACTCAGGGCCTTCCCCTCTACTCGTCATCTACCAAGTCTCAGGATCTGCTTCCCCTGTGTACACAGTGCTCATTTCCGAGCCCACCAAAGCTCCCTTATAAACGGGTCCAGGAACAGTGGCACATTCTGCACTGATTTTCAGTGCAAGCCCTTGTTTGAAGTTTCTAGGACAGTTATCTCCTCAGCTCTGAAGACTTGCACAGTGTGGCTAGCCTCCAGTGGCTTCTGCAAGTTGCCTGTTTTTTGCCCCCACCTTCAGCTCCATCAGCTAAGAACAGTGCCCCTGCTAAGCAGCACTAAGCAGAAAAGGAACAGAGAGTGAGTGGCTCCACCCACAAATGCTGGGCTCCATGCCTCTGGTCGGTTCAACATTAGTGCAAAATACAAGTGATCACACTGAAAAGATTTTCAGTTAAGATCCCAAAGAGAAGTGGCAAATGCCAAGTACACTAAAATGCCCATGAATGAATACATTCTCAACTCCCCTTGTTAAAAATCCAAGTCTTTCTAAAACCTGTCCTAAAACAAACAACACAGTGATCGGAGAACTGAGTGACTTGATGGACCGCCACCTAGTGGTGACCAGTTGTTATTGTTGTTATGTGCCATTGACTCCAACCTGACTCATAGTGACCCCTCCTTGGGTTTCCGAGATGGTATCACTACAGAAGTAGACTGCCCAACCTTCCTTCCCAGGAGTGGCTGGTGGGTGTGAACCACCAGCCTTCTGGTTAGCAGTCAAGTGCCTTAGGCACTAGGCTACCAGAGTTCCCTAAAATTATTCCTTCTTCTGATGGTGTAGTGCCTAAGGTATTTGACTGCTAACTAGAAGGCTGGCAGTTCAAACCCACCAGCCACTCCTCGGAAGGAAGACTGGGCAATCTATTTCCATAGAAATGTTGTTGTTGTTGTTGTTATGTGCCGCCCCGACTCATAGCGACCCCTCCTTGGGTTTCCGAGGCAGTATCACTACGGAAGTAGGATTGCCCAACCTTCCTTCCGAGGAGTGGCTGGTGGGTTTGAACCGCCAGCCGTCTGGTTAGCAGGCAAGTGTCTTAGCCACTATGCTACCAGAGCTCCCAAAATACTGCCTCGGAAACCCAAGGAGGGGTTGCTACGAGTCGGGACCGACTCAGCGGCAGTGAGTTTGGTTTTTTTGGTTTGTGGGGCTTTGAAGGGAAATCACCTTTTCTCATAGTTTAAAAACATCATTTTAAATGGCCTACTCTCAGGCTGTAGTCCCAGAACTGACTCTAGGGCTTTTTTGTTTTGTTTTAAAACTCTCAGGCCACAACAAGCAAACCAAAGGAACAAGTCAGGAGTTACAAGGTCCAGATTTTGCCATCAGTTTATAAAAGTGCAGGCATCCGTGAAGCAGAACTCAGGAATCCAAAGTTTTTATTTGCCTTCTGGGCATGGAAATCAGGATCCATGCAGCCAGGTACCCTTTGCAAAGGGCTGTAAGATGTCTATCAAGATTTTTCATCATCCCCAAGACACAGGGAAAATTACGGGGGTGGAAGGGAGTGTCTGCCTCAGGCTCCACATATTTTCATTCCTAGTAGACAAAACTGAAGTGAAATGAGTTAGCAGAAAAGCAATTCATTTTCCAAGACCTCTCGACCAGTGGGAATATAAATAATTAAAACCTGGAAGCTGCTGATAAGCAGTTAAATCAAGCTGGGCTCAGACTGGCAGGAGGAGCCCCTCGTCAATTACTTTCCTCCCAGTGGGTGCCAACTGTGTTTCAGCCTGTGGATGGGCAAGTGCCCTGAATGACTGCAGAGGCCCCATGGTGGTGGTGGTGGGGGAGCTTATTGCTGGGCACATGCATAGGTGCCCAGAAGGCATTTATAATCACTGCATCAGAACAAAAAGGTTTATTTGTTTGGTGTAACTAAGAGTCGCTCCCTGATGACTCAAGAGGTGGCCCCTGGTGCTGATGAAACTCTCCCATCCCTACAGGAAAATAGGGTTTTGTGAAACTATCATGGTGAGTCCCCATGCTGGGCTGATGGCACGCACTGAGTCACTTAAAGAAGCTAAAATGTGCCGTGCCCCTTGGGACCATTTACCTTGATAGATAGATTCCAATCTACTTGGGAACTGGAGCTCCTGGGCCACTGGGGGTCCTTTTGGGACTTACAAAGAGGAAGAAGAGACCAATAGGCAGCTACTCTCAGTCAGGAGGGTACCTGCTCCTAGAAGTCAGATTCTGGGAAGAGGTAGCCTAGAGGCTTCCCTCACCCTAGAGTCACCCACTCTTTACAACTAGAGAAAGGCACAAGGGTGGAAGATAACCTGGAGTCATGTGATAGGCCACACACACAGTCACAAAGAAACCTATCCTTGAAACAAACACCTAGTGCAACACTCTCTCTTTGGTGTGGTTGGGCTGTCTGTCTTTGGTCCACCTGAGACGAATGAGGCACAAGATAATGAAAGAGAAGAAAAGGTAAGCAAGTGACACCTCCTCATACATGATGTCTGCCCCTCAGTGACTTCTTACTGCATTGAATTAGACAGGTAGAAGCCAGAAGAGGCATTTTGCTTCTTCCAACAGCAAAGGAGAAGAACTGATGTATTTGAATTGTGGTGTTGGCATAGAATACTGAAAATACCACAAACTGCCAGAAAAATGAACAAATCTGTCCTAGAAGTACAGCCAGGATGCTCCTTAGAAGTGAGAATGGCCAGACTTTGTCTCACATACTCTGGTCATGTTTTCAGAAGGGACCAGTCCCTGGAGGAGGATATCATACTTGGTAAAGTAGAGGGTCAGTGAAAAAGGGGAAGACCCTCAATGAGATAGACTGATACAATGGCTGCAACAATGAGCTCATGCACACCAAGGACTGTGAGGATGGTGCAGGACCAGGCATTGTTTTGTTCTGTTGCACACAGGGTTGCTATGAGTTGGAGCTGACTTCATGGCATCTAACAACAGCAAAGGAAGGGATAAGCTGAGGTCCTAAACGAGGTCACCATCATCTATAGTAACTTAAAGGATGAGTCAATTACACCATTACAGCTCAGTCTAGACTAGTGAAAGCAGCAAGTAAAACCAGGAAAAGAAAGTAGGCAGCCAGAGCAGAAGGCAGAAAAGGGCTGACAATTGGCCAGGAAGATGAAAATGGATACACAGGACCACTAAGCAAAACTCCCCTTTAAAGCTGGGCTCTGCGGGCCGCATGAGCAGAAAGAGTAAAGATTTAGAGTTGGTTGCTGCCATTGCTGTGTGACCCTGGGAAAGTCACCCTCTCTGAGCTCTATCTGTCATCTCTAAAATGGCACAGATGATAATACCTATCTCATAGGAGTATTGAGAGGATCTACTTCTTTATCTGGAAAAAGACTACATCAATGTGGGTGAGCATCCATGCAGAAAAAGGTTGACAGAGCAGACCTGAGGTCTTAGAAAGGCATGCTTGCAAGTTTGGCCTTGGCTGGCATCTGGAAACCTGAGTGTTCCTCATCAACAGTTAACTGATAAGGGTGTTCTACTGTAGCTAGACTGTGCAAACATTACGGTTTATGATGAACGCCTGCCTTCCTTCTGGGAGTTTGGAATTTTGGTAAATGCTAGGCAGTAGGTAGCTATATAACCAAGGGGGTAAAAAAAAAACAAACCACCCAATCCTGTTGCAGTCAAGTCAATTCCAACTCACAGCAAGTCCATGTGTTACAGAGCAGAACTGCTCCATATGGTTTTCTTGGCTGTAAGCAGATTGCCAAGCCTTTCTTCCATGGGACCACTGGGTAGGTTTGAACTGCCAACCCTTTGGTTAGTGAAATCAAATGCAAATTGCTTGCACCATCCAGGGACCTTATCTAGCCTCCAATAAAAACCTTGGGCATTTAGTCTCTAATGGGCTTCCTGGGCAGAAATACTGCATCCACGTGTCTGCATTTTTGTTGCTGTAACATGTATGTATGTAATATACATGCTGAATCCTAGCAAATCTCTAATTGTGGGAAGTGGTCTTGGCAACTCCCAATACACCAGGAATATCATATATATGCACCAAGAATGAGCCTAGAGATCTTATCTATCTCAGGGAAGCCTATTGTCACCACTTGGATAGAGACAAGGTTACAGATAGAAGATGGGACCAGGCCAGCAACCCAAGAAACCTCAATCCCTAGAACAGGGAGGTAATGAGGAGTTAGCTGGTATTCATTGAAAGCCCACTGGGAGCTAGTCACCAGTACTAGGTGCTCTGTTACCATTATTTCATTTCCTTATCATCACAATATTATCCTCATTGTTTACATGAAGAAATTTAGGTACAGAGAGACTGAGTAACTTGCTTGATGGCACACAGCTAGCAAGAGAAAGAGGTGTGATTCCAGTTCAAGGCTGTCTGTCTACAAAGACTAGCGAGTCTTGGCTTTTCTCAGCACATACACTGTCTGCCTAGTGGCCACTCTTATCTTCTGGCTTATTAGAGGCTACTTGGTTGGCCGTGAGCCGCACTCTGGCAAGCAAGTCATGAATAGTTTTCTGAGCAGGAATCTAGAGCAGGAAGAGAAATGGGCATTTTAGACCAAATGATCCTTGCCACATTTGTTAATTTTCAAAGCACAGTAACACCCAACATTTCATTTAACCCTCTTAATAACCATATGCCAGGCTGCCAGGTAGATGTCTTCTTTTTTCAGATAGGGAAAGTGAGGACTAGCAAGGGTCAGGTAGTTAGGCAGGACTAGAAGTAAGACCTCTTTGTGTCCCTTATCTGCCTGGCACATAGAAGAAACTTGATAAATACCTGTTGACTGGATGAATCATGTCTATTTTAAATTAATAAGAAATAAAAGTGGGCTCAACAGGAAAACAGAGGTTCATTTTTGCAATTTTCATCTTTTAAATCATTTTTCTTTAAAGACATCTGCATAGTACTGACCAATCAACAAAGAACTCTAAGTAGCCTTCATTTGGTTTGTCCAGCTTCGGCGTCCCCATTTCTGCTTTCACTCCCACCAAGATGTCCGTGTGGCCCTGTGTAGACACACACAAGAAGGGTCTTCACTCAGGGCAGGTTGCCAAACACCCAACACGCTCCTCCTCTCCCAGATAGACACGCTCAGGAGCAGTGCTAGACCTAAGAAGGTGACCCCTTGAGGAGATAACAGCTCCTTCAGATCTAGACAGGCCTCTTCCCTGAGTTTGGCTTGGGTCTAGGTTTTCCCAGGAGCTATATATACTCCAAGGAGCTCTGGTGGCATAGTGCCTAACTACTTGACTGCTAACCAGAAGGCTGGTGGTTCAAACCCACCAGCTACTCCTTGGAAGGAAGGTTGGGCAATCCTACTTATGTAGTGATAATGCCTCAGAAACCCAAGGAGAGGTCGCTATGAGTCAGGGCCGACTCGACAGCACATAACCCTCAACGGCACATAACAACAGCAACATATATATACCAAAGGCCTGCAGAGGTCACCTAGGACCACCCCACTCCTCCACGTGACCATGGATTATGACCACTCTCTACTCACCAGCTTGACCCTGGCAGACCCACTGGTGTTGGATACCACGTCAGTTTCCACTTCGATGCACCTGTAGTCCTCGCAGCCACGGCCATCCACGCGGAGGTCTTCCTGAGTGCGACAACTACAATCCTCAGGCTGTGGTCCTAAACCAAAAACAGACTCCCAACTTGATCTTCTCCCTTTTCCTCTAAAGAAATATGCAATATCTCCTTTCTTTTAAGTGGATAAAGGAGCTCTGGTAGCATAGTGGGTAAAGCATTTGGCTGCTAACCAGAGGTCGGTACTTCAAACCCACCAGCTGCTCCGTGGGAGGAAGATGACGCAATCTACTTCCATAAAGATTTACAGCCTTGGAAGCCCCATGGGGTCACCATGAGTCAGAACTGACTCAGTGGCAGTGGGTTTGATTTGGTTTTCTAAGTAAGCCATGTGAAATTCCATCCCCATAGCTAATAAGGCTATTACTATTTTACATATGAGTTAATAGAGACTCAGAGACATTAAGTGACTTGTCTAAGGTCCTACAGCTAGAAAGAGTAAAAAGCTAGTTTTCTATTCCAGGTCCATCCAGCTGCAAAGTCCACAGCACATATCATTATACTGAATAGACACACACACACAAAGACAATCCAGACAAGAGGCAAAATAAGCCATCTCTCTCCAAATCTGCAATTCTAAAATTTCATCAAGGAGAACATGCTGTCAAAGCTACAGGGTACAACTCTCTTAGCTGCAACTCTCTTTCTCACGTAACTCAATAAGATCTGCTCTGTAAACGGCTAAAACAAAGAACTAAACAAGCAAAATACACCTAGTTGACCATCTAAAACTCAGACATTCTCTGGAACAGGGTCACAGCCATGCCCACTCCTTTATGTATGGTCTATGGCTGCTTTCATACTAGAAGGCAGAGGTGAGCTTGCTATAGAGACTGTACTACTTGCAAAGCCCAAAATAATTACTTTCTAGATCTTTACAGGAAAAGTGTGCTGATCACTGCTGTAGAAGAGGGGTTTCAGGGTGATCTATGCACTTTCCTCCCCTAATTGTGTAAAGTTATTTGAAATAATTTTAGGCCTACAGAGAAGTTGCAAAATTATGAAAAAGTTCCCATAATTTCTTTACCTAGCTTCCCTTAACAACTTAAATAATCATAGTACACTTACCAAAACTAGAAATTAACATTGTACTATTAACTACAGGGAGGGAAAAAAACACCACCATAGAGTCGATTCCAACACATAGTGATCCTATAGGACAGAGGAGAACTGCCCTATAGGGTTTCCAAGAAAGTAAATCTTTACAGAAGCAGAGTGCCTCATCCTTCTCCCATAGAGAAGCTGGTAGGTTTGAACCACCAACCTTCTGGTTAGCAGCCAAATACCTTAACCACTGTGCCACCAGAGCGTTTTTTAAACTAAACTACAAACTTTACTCCAATTTTACCAGTTTTCCCACTAATGTCTTTTTCTGGTTCAGGATCCAATCCAGGACCCCACACTACATTAAGCTGACGTGTCTCTTTAGCCTCCTTTACTCTGAGACAGCTCCTCAGTCTTTTATATTCTTGACACTTTTTAGAGTAGCTGTCTGTTTATTTTGCAAAGACGTTTCAGTGGATGTGTCCAATGTTCTTTCCTGATTAGATTAAGGTTAGGCATTTTTTAGCAAGAATACCACAGAAGAGGTTGTGCTCATTACAGGGAATCATATTAGGAAGTGGTTGTTGCTGTTGTTAGGTGCCACTGAGTCAGTCCCAACCCACAGCGACCCTATGTAAACAGAATGAAACACCGCCTGGCCGTAAGTCATCCTCACAGTCGTTGCTGTGCTTGAACTCAATATTGCAGGGAGCTCTGGTGGCATAGTGCCTAAGGCATTTGACTGCTAACCAGAAGGCTGGTGGTTCAAACCCACCAGCCACTCCTCGGAAGGAAGGTTGGGCAATCTACTTCCGTAGTGATACCACCTTGGAAACGCAAGGAGGGGTCACTATGAGTCGGGGCCGACTCGACAGCAGTGAGTTTGGTTTTGGTTTATGTCAATCCATCTTGTTAAAGGTCTTCCCCTTTTTTGCTGACCCTCTGCTTTACCAAGCATGATACCCTTCTCTAGGGACTGGTCCCTCCCAACAACATGACTAAAGTATGAAGAAATGAACTCTGGACATTCTCACTTCTAAGGAGTATTCTGGCTGTCCTTATTCTAAGACAGATTTGTTTGTTCTTCTGGCAGTTCATGGTATTTATGTTTTAATTACTAGTGGTATTAACTTTAATCACTTGGTTAGGGTAGTATCTGTGATTTCTCTACTATAAGGTTACCATTTTTCTATTTGTAATTCACATCTTGGAAAAAATCTAGTATCTTATTTCTTCTCAAACTTACCCTACTAATTTTAGCATCCATCAGAGGGCCCTGTCTGCAACAATTATTACTATGGTATTCGCCAGTTGGTGATCTCCTCATCTCTTTGACATCTGTTAATGGAATTCTGGACAGAAGAGCTGGCCCTTCTTCCCATTTAATTCTGTCTTGAATTATTTATATCAGTATAACTCATAGGCATGTATTTTATGCTTTGAGTTATATAGTCCAATACTACCATTATTTATTTTGATGTTCTAAGTGTTCCAAATTTGGCCATTGGGAAACTCCTTTAGTTTGGTTCCTATGTTCTTTCAATATGCTTCCATTTCTTTTTGGAGCACTTCCTAACTTTCTGGCATCACAAGATATTCCAGTCTACTGTATTTTTCCTGCTCCAGTCCTGGAATCAGTCATTTCTCCCAAAAGCCCTGGTTCCTTTCACTGGAGAATAGTATTTAAAAACTAGCCACTCCTCGGAAGGAAGGTTGGGCAATCCTACTTCCGTAGTGATACTGCCTCGGAAACCCAAGGAGGGGTCGCTATGAGTCGGGGCCGACTCCACGGCACATAACAACAAACAACAACAACAGGTACCAATTATGCTCATTGCTATAGGGATTATCATCACTTCTAGACCTTCTTAACAGACAGAACTAGAAAATACATGTATGTATACTAACTGCACATACATACATATCTACCTTTCTTCCTGTATCTATCTACATACAGGCATATCTCATTTACTTGGGCTTTGCTTTACTGCACTTTGCAGATTTGAGTTTTGTTTTGTTTTTTTACAAATTGAAGGTCTGTAGCAATGTGGCATCAAGCAAGTCTATCAGCACTACTTTTCCAACAGCACGTGCTCACTTTGCATCTCTGTGTCACATTCTGGTAATTATCACAATATTTCAAGCTTTTTCATAATGTTATTGCACATTTAATAGTCTACAAAACCAAAAAAAACAAACTCACTGCCATCAAGTGGATTCCAACTCACAGTGATCCTCTTTGGGTTTCCGAAGTAGTAAATCTTTATGGAAGTAGACTGTCCAGTCTTCCTTCCGCAGAGTGGCTGGTGAATTTGAACCACCAACCTTCTGGTTAGCAGTCACATGCCTTGGGCACTACGCCACTCTAATAGACTACAGTACAGTGTAAATCTAACTTTTATATGCACTGAGAAACCAAAATAATTCATGTGATTCACTGTATTATGACATTCGCTTTATCGTGGTGGTCTGGCTCTGGTGGCGTAGTACCTAAGGCATTTGACTGCTAACCAGAAAGCTGGTGTTTCAAACCCACCAGTCACTCCTCGGAAGGAAGGTTGGGCAATCTACTTCCATAGTGATACCATCTCAGAAACCCAAGGTGGGGTCACTATGAGTTGAATCTGTGTCAACAGCAGTGAGTTTAGTTTTGGTTTTTTGGAACCAAACTTGCAATATTTCCAAGGTATGCCTGTATATGGGTCTCTGGGTGGCACGAACCATTTGTCTTTAACCACTAACCTAAAGGCTGGCAGTGTGAACCCACCCAGTGGCACCGCATAAGGCCTGGCAATCTGCTTCTATAAAGATTACAGCTAAGAAAACCCTATGGGGCAGTTCCACTCTGTAATTCATGGGGTCACCATGAGTTGAAACTGACTCAACAGCAATGGGTTTGATTTTTGGTTTCTCTACATATATATTAGGGAGCTCTGGTAGCATAGTGCACTTGACTGCTAACCAGGAGGCTGGTGGTTCAAACCCACCAGCCACTCCTCGGAAGGAAGATGAAGCAATCTACTTCTGTAGTGATACTGCCTCAGAAACCCAAGGAGGGGTCGCTATGAGTCAGGTCCGACTCGAGGGCACATAACAACAACAACAACAACAACAACAACACCATATATATTAAAAGCCATGAGTTCATACAGGCAAATTCCAATCCAGCTTCACAGAGTGCAGCCCCCTTTTCTGATTTGTAACTTCTTTCTCAGATAGAGAGAAACCCAGCTCTCATTGTCTACAATGTATTTATTTGTTTGTTCAGTCTTTGGATACACATAACTTAATTTCAGAACTGCTAACCTATACCTCCGTGCATAATAAATTTCTTAACAGACTACAGTACAGTATTTGTATAGCGTTCTTTGTCTTTACTCCTTTTGTTGTTTACTCTTAGCTGCTGTTGAGTCAATTCTCACTCCTGGCAACAGCCTGTGTGCTAGTATAGAACTGTGCACCATAGGGTTTTCAAAGCTGTGACCTTTCAAAAGCAGACTGCCAGGCCTGTCCTCTAAGGTGCCTCTGGGTGGGTTCAAACCACCAACCTTTCAGCTAGTAGTGGCGCCTTCATTGTTTATACTACCCAGGGACAAAATACTGTTTTCCAGGTACTTAAATTAAGTCTTTTCTTCCTTGCCGTTCAGTGTGGTTATGTTATTCATTTCTAAAAGGTTCATTTGTAACTGTTTGTACTCCAGTATGGGTTCTCCCACAGTCCCTGGGTGTTCTGGTTACCTAGTGCTGCTCTGACAAGAATACACCACAAATGTGATGGCCTTAATAAACAGGAGTTTATTCTTACAATTTGGAGGCTTTAAGTCCAAGTTCAAAGTGCCAGGCTCTAGGGACTGGGTGAAAGCCCCTCAACCTTAGGGTCCAGCTCTGTCTCCTGCTCCTGGCCCACTGGAGCTAGAGGTGTTTCTTCACTCAGACAGCTGCAGGCTGCTGAGGCTGATAAACCCC